GCCAAAATGTTAGGGTTTTAACCATGAGATAAATATGGAAGATTAACAGAAATTTAATAATAGTATAGATATAAACGAATATTCTACTACGACAATTTTGAAACAAACGAAAGATACACATAAGATAATTTCCTAATATCTAAACATAATAATATTTGCATAATATAATTATGGAAGATTTCATAAGATAATTATGTTATACGAAAATAGATGATTATGGAAGATTGTTGTGTTAATAAGATTTGGGCCTCGATTAATAAGCCCGGTAACATTAAAACGTGGTACATCCTTATGTTTATGGCATAAAAAAATTGAATGACAATTGAATGTAATTAAGTCGAATTTTAATGATATTTTTGGTATACCAAGTTTTAAACTCACTCTTAAGCCGCCACATAGTAAAAGTGACTTCTCTTTTATAAGTATAGATTTGTAAAATGCATGAAACATAATAGTTATTTTCATTGTACTCGAAATGTATATTTTGGTCTCATAAATTTGGTGGTTTCTTCTTTTTAAGTTTTGGTAGTTGGTTTCTCTATAACTTTCTTGTGTTTTGGTTTTCAAATATTTGAGTTTTTATACAAAAACTTAAATCAAAGAAGTGAATTCAAAACATCTTAAATTAAGAATACTACGCTTTGATTCGTTCAAAATTTTGTGATTTTGTAAATTATTTCTTTTATTATACTAAAAATTTAATTGAAACTTTTTATTTTATGTAATCTAATGTTTTAGCTTATATATACTATACTTTATAAGAATCAAAACAATATAAAATATTTTTAAATTATATTTTGTATTCAACATAAAAAATATTTATATCTTATAAATAATCGTCCCCAGTAAAAGTTATATTTGTCATACTTTATAGTCAAAAACAAATAAGTTTTAAATATTTTGATATTTGACTAAGTAAATCAAACTTGACTAAAATATCCTCTATATATTAATTGAGGAGACATTAGGTGAAAAATTCTAGTGTCATCCAACGAAGGTTTTAAGGAACATTTAATGAAAACTATTATAAATTCTTAATGCAAATAATTAGAAGAGCGCAACTATAATTTAACCCAATTATCCATCAAATTTATATCATACACAATACATAATCATCAAACCAATATGGAACCAACAAATATGTGGTAATTAATATGGACGATTTTATTTAAGTAATCCTCTATATATTAATATGAGAGTTTTAAGGGACACA